GGTTTCTATTTTTTGCAACAACAAAAAAAATAAATTAAAAAAAATTAATTTTTTTTTACTTTTTGCTATAAAACAAATCCATTCAAAAGAAAAAAAAATCAAATTTCTTTATAAATTTAGACCAAAATGTACTCTGCTACATGTCTTTGTTAAAAAAAATCCCAATAAGTGTATATTGAATGGTTTTCGTGAAAGTTATAGCGTCTATTTTGGTGGTATTTGATCACCACTGGGGTTTCTATTTTTTGCAACATAAAGAATAAAAATTATAAAAGAAAAAATAATTTTTTTTTTACTTTCTGCTATAAAATATATCCAACAAAAAGTAAAAAAAAATCTAATTTCTTCATTTAGGCCAAAATGTTCTCTGCTACATGTCTTTGGTAAAAAAAAAATCCCAATAACCCCCAGTTCACATATATGCGGCCGTGCGGGCCGTGTTTTGCACGTGCACAAGAGCCCATTCATTTGAATGGACTCCCGTGCCCCTGACACGCAGGGAAGAAGTCCCTGCACTTCTTCCGAAAACGCAGACCTTTGTCCACGCACTTCTTCTGAAAACGCAGCCCGCACGGGAACCTCGGTTCCCAGTACGGTTGCGTTTTCCAGTGCGGGCGGCGTGCCATTAGAACTAATGGCACCCGCCCGCGGGTTTGCATTTCTCTGTGCGGGTGGTGCGGCTGCACAGATTTTCGTGCGGATCTGCAGCGGCACCACCCGCACAGATGTGAACTCTTTGAGAAATAGAGAGAACGTTCCCTCTGTACAGAGCTCTGTGATTGGACATCAGCTGATCCTAGCCGCGAATCATTGCTGACTGGCTCCTGCTGTGTGGCTGGCAGCTTGGAGGGGGGGAATGGCCCTAAACCCAGAAGCAAGCAGCGGCGTATGGGTACAGCTCTTTTCCTGTGCAGGCCACCTGTCCACAGTACATTGCGGGCGGTAAAACAGCAAGTGGATAATTGGAGTCCGAGGCATCTGCGGGGACATGTATGTTTTAGAATTAAGCCCTCAGATATGAGCTTTCAGCTGGAGGGTCCCCTTCTGATGGCCATGGAAAGTGTAGAGCAAACGAGGTAAGACAGGTACTTGTTTCAGCACTACCCCCTTAGGAGTCGTTGACGTTTTTGGGTCCCCCTATAGCCAGGCAACACTCATTTTCTACAGGCTTGCATTCCAAGGACAATAAACAGTCCTTCAGCTTGTTTTTTGGGGGATTTTATTGGGGCTTTTGAGCTCGGATGGGGTAAGGGGGTGTATGGGATGCCCAAGGAACAGTAAACCAAAGACCAAACTTCCTGGCAGCTAAGTCTTTACACAGCAAAAAGTCTTCTTGAAGAGGTCTCCAGCCTCTCCTGGTGTATCACGTACCTGGTGATGGAGAACCTCAGTATCACGTACCTGGTGATGGAGAACCTCAGTATCACGTACCTGGTGATGGAGGCCAATGGAGGGAGGGCTTCCCTTGCGGCTAAGTTCCGGACTCCCCTGAGAGTGGGACAGCGGGAGTCAGGCCCAAAGTTGCACAGGTCGCCTGTAGGAGTGCTGGTTGGTGGTCCACTCAGAAACACAGCTGGTGCACGGAGATAGGTCTGCAGACAGGGGGCGCCTGTGGGAGGTATGAAAGCCCTTCCGGGATTTGGATGTTTACTGGGTAGTCGGTTCAAGCCAAGGTCAGGTACCGGGTGGGAATCAGAGCAGATGTAGTCAGATGGGATAGCTGAGGTCATACACAGAGGAGTGATAGAGAGAGAGAGAGTATCCGTAAGCCAAGCCGAGGTCAGATCCGGGGTAATCAGAGTAGACAGGTCCAGGAGCAAGCCGAGTCGGAATCAGGAAATCACAGGTCGCAATCACAGGAAACAGGGCACGGGGAGCTAGAGATCATCTAGCAACTTGAGGAAGTGATGAGCCTCCTTATAAAGGCCGTCTGTCACCAAACTGAGGCTGATGTGTGCTTCTGTGGCCATGCAGGGTACTGGCAGAAATGCCAGATCTTCCAGAACTTCTGCCGTGGACGGGACCCTGACAGTGTGTATCATCCAAGACCCCAGATAAATCCTCTTCTGTCTGGAGGAATCCCTGAGCAAGGGGATTTAGTGCCTACCACTTAAATTGAACAGTCCCTGGTAAGGAGCTTATCAGGTTTCCCACCAGAAGGCTCTTTTTTTTTTTTTCCCCTTAACTGGCCCACGGGGTGTAGGACTACTCACTCAGTCTCTCTCCTGTGAGCTGGTTAAGGTAGATGGCTGCTTTCAGGCCTTCTGCTGGGGTGGCTCCTTCCCTGGCTCCACAGGTAGTCCTCCCTCCAGGGACTGGCGAGGCTGAGCGATCCTCCTGTCCAGGCCCCAGCCTGTAGTTAGGCCCCTTTTTCACTGGCCCCCCCCCTCCCAGGCTCCTACATCTCTTCCTCGCTCACATCTTCCACCTGAACTCTAACACACGTAAAGGGTGCCCTGGCCCCATGCCAAGCCTCCTGCTTGGGGATTTGCCAGAATCCTCTTAAGTGCGCAGGCCAGCTCCTCCTCACCCCCACCCACAGCTTCTAGAATCTTCTCAAGTTTCTAGAGCAGTGGGAGGTGTCGGGGGAACTGACCTGCAGAGCCTCTCAGCCCTGACCCAAATTTGACCCTGCTGACTATTTCCCCAGGCTGCTGGTCAACTTTTCTAACAATGAGTAACTAGTTCCCCCTGTCTATCCAGAGGGGCGCTACAAGTAAATGCAGATAATAACCTCAGTGGATAGCAGCCTTGCAGATCAGCTGTCCTGGGGTGACAACCTTCTCTCTACGCTGTAATTGTATCTATAGAGGAGTAGCGTTGTCACCTTGGTCTGCTCAGTTCATAGAGGTGAAGTTGGTAGGGCTGATACCACTGCTCGGGTTTTCAGTGCATCACAGGCAGAGAGCACAGGAAGTTCTCTTTGGATGTTTGGCAGGATCATCAGGTAGTGTTTTGGACTTTATTGAACAGATAAAACAAAAAACACTTTCAGCGGTTAATTTAACCCCTTCACGTCTGACGGTAAAACAAATCTTAATGCCTAAGCACAATTTTGCAACGTTGACCCGTGTTAGTAAAACCGTCCGTATCATCACAACTACTTTGTCCATCCGGGTGGATTATGCAGCGTTTTTTTCAGGACAAATTGGGTTTTCATTTGGTGGTAAATGGTAATGGATATCTCCTGATATTTTTTTTTTTTTTTTTATTATTATTATTATTATTATCAAAGAAAAACTGTCCCAAAATAGTAAAAAAAATATTTTTTTTTTTAATGTAGCTGTGTGTTTCTTGTTACTACCATAACCTACCACCAAAGAAACAACCCAAAATATATTCTCCAGCTCTTGACGATCGCAGCGATACCATCTATGTGTGTGTTATTTGTTGTTTGTACCCGGAGTACAGCCCAGAAACAATAGAGCACATTTGTTTTGTTTTTTTGTTTTTTTTATATCTAAAAAACACACTGACACTGAAAATAACGGACTCTAATACCAAGTATATAATGATACAACGTATAATGGAATGTATATAATGATACAATGTATAAGGTATATAATGATACAATGTATATATAATGATACAATGTATAATGGATATATATATAATGAGGTATAATGGAATGTATATAATGATACAATGTATAATGGATACAATGTATATAATGATACAATGTATAATGTATAATGTATAATGGAATGTATATAATGATACAATGTATAATAGAATATAATGATATAATGATACAATGTATACAATGTATAATGGAATGTATATAATGATACAATGTATAATAATGGAATGTATATAATGATACAATGTATAATGGAATGTATATAATGATACAAATAATGTATAATGGAATGTATATAATGATACAATGTATATATATAATGATACGTATAATGTATAATGGAATGTATATAATGATACAATGTATAATGGAATGTATATAATGATATAATGTATAATGGAATGTATATAATGATACAATGTATAATGGAATGTATATAATGATACAATGTATAATGGATGTATATAATGATACAATGTATAATGGAAGGTATATAATGATACAATGTGGAATGTAATAATGATACAATGTATAATGGAATGTATATAATGATACAATGTATAATGGAATGTATATAATGATACAATGTATAATGAAAGGTATATAATGAATGTATACAATGTATAATGGAATGTATATGTAATGATACAATGTATAATGGAATGTATATAATGATACAATGTATAATGGATATGTATATAATGATACAATGTATAATGGAATGTATATAATGATACAATGTATAATGGAATGTATATAATGATACAATGTATAATGGAATATATATAATGATACAATGTATAATAGAATGTATATAATGATACAATGTATATAATGGAATGTATATAATGATACAATGTATAATGGAATGTATATAATGATACAATGTATAATGGAATGAATGTATATAATGATACAATGTATAACAATGTATAATGATACAATGTATAATGGAATATAATGATACAATGTATAATAGAATATATAATGATACAATGTATAATAGGATGTATATAATGATACAATGTATCTCTCTCCTCCATTCATAGAGAAAAAAAACCCAAGGGGGCTGGGCTGTTCAGTGACTGATCACTGTGATAGCCAATCAGAGGCTATCACAGCAATCATGTGACCCGGATTCGGGAGTCCCAGGTCCAGATCGTTAGAACGGGACCCGGGGCTCTCAGTGACACCCCGGTCTTTGTGCTGGGAGCACGCTTCCAGTACAAAGACAGGTACGCAAATATGCGTCCCCCACAGAAAAAAAGCCCAGTTCTGTGAGGCCGCATATTTGTGTGACGTCGGCATGAAGGGGTTAAAGGACCAAAAGGGAGCAAATATGACTAGTCCATCGTTGGAGATGACATACACTTTAAGCACCCTACTTTTAAAAGTTACCTATGTATCTTCTAATACACAGGAATTCTCAATAGTGAAGAGGACATCTGACAATCATGTGACCCTCGGTAGCCAAGCCCGTGCGTCAGAAGGATGGAACAGGGGCCAGGCCCCCACTATGGAGCCTTCTCCCGAGAGGGATGACAAGAAGATTCTGGAGGTCATCAACAAGATCATCATGGTTCTGACAGGAGAGGTGAGGGGTGCCGGGAATTCTGGGGCATCATCCGGGATGAGAAGCGGTATGTCTGGATGGTGACTGTATCATTGTGTGTGTCAGGTTCCTCTCCGGTGTCAGGACGTCGCCGTCTATTTCTCCATGGAGGAGTGGGACTATTTAGAAGGACACAAGGATCTGTCTGAGGACATCATGATAGAGAATCTTCACCTCTTCACATGGCCAGGTGAGCAATTTGCCAGGCTTTCATACAATTCATATACTTCAGAGATGCTGGATTTGTAGAAGAGACGTTTGGTCGAAATTGCACCTGCCTAAAGCACTAGGTCAGGGGTGTCAAACTGGCGGCCCTCCAGCTGTTGCAAAACTACAAGTCCCATTATGCCTCTGCCTTTGGTAGTCATACTTGTAACCGTCAATCTTACAATGCCTCATGGGACTTGTAGTTTGGCAACAGCTGGAGGGCCGCCAGTTTGACACCCGTGCACTTGAAGGACCATTACCATTGGAAGATGTCCAGAGGAGAGCTAAAAGACTAACATTGGGGGAAAATTAGGGACTGAGAGGGATTTGGTTCGAAATGAGGGTCAGTTGGAAGCTGTACAAACAAATGGCAACCACTCCAACCTATAACTGGCCTTTGCGGCACCAAGCACATGGAAGGGCGACCCACCATCAAAAATAGGCAAAAAATCCCAGCTCACCTATCCGCTAAACCGCAACAAAACCAAATGAACCCTGTTTAACGGTTCAAGGGGTTTAGTCGCACACATTTGCAAATAGATGCGTAAGCTGCAGTGGCCACGTCAAGGCACCCCAGTCTACTGCAGTGCTAACTCTATCAATTTTGAGCCCTTGGTTCACATATATGCGGTGCGGTATATCGCATGTGATTCGCACAGGAACCGGACCGCATTCCTGTGCAAATCACATGCGATTTGTGGGCGGTGCCGTACATTTTGTATGGCTCTAATCACACCACACCCGCACCAAAAACGTGTAGGACCCTTTTTTTTGGTCTGCACTAGAATGGGATTTTACGGGTATTCACACCCATGTGATACAATTGTGCACATCGCACCGCGTTTTGCGGACCGCTTTCGGGGTGTTGCTAACTTAACAGCACTGAAAACGCTGTAAAATCCGCACCACATCAGTGTGAATCAGGGCTCAGTCTCCCAAGCTGGAGCACATATAGCAGTGGATAGATCAACCCTTTTGCTGCCAGAGCTGTTGCGATTTTTGTTTTTGCACACGTTTAAAAAATCCTGATGATTACACACAACTCTAAAACATGATCTATTTTCTGAAAGCAGACACCCTACTAGAGAATAAAAGAGCTATTCTAACTCAACTACAGGACGATAAACCTTATCTCCAGCGATATATACAGCTATACCAGGCGGTGTTGAATTTATCCCTTGCATCGGGTCAGATAGTTTAACTCAATGAATAAACTCACATGTTGAGGAGGTCAGATGAAGAAACCCATTCGAATGTTCCATTTAATGGAGAATAATCATAGGTAGATATCACGTATCTGGTGATGGAGGCCAATGGAGAGAGAGCTTCCCTTGCGGCTAAGTTCCGGACTCCCCTGAGAGTGGGACAGCGGGAGTCAGGCCCAAAGTTGCACAGGTCGCCTGTAGGAGTGCTGGTTGGTGGTCCACTCAGAAACACAGCTGGTGCACGGAGATAGGTCTGCAGACAGGATGCGCCTGTGCATGGTATGCAAGTCCTTCCAGGATTTAGATGTTTACTGGGTAGTTGGTTCAAGCCAAGGTCAGGTACCAGGTGGGAATCAGAGCAGACGTAGTCAGATGGGATAGCCGAGGTCATACACAGCGGAGCGAGAGAGAGAGAGTATCCGTAAACCAAGCCGAGGTCAGATCCGGGGTAAGGCAGAGTAGACAGGTCCAGGAGCAAGCTTGGTCGGTATCAGGAAATCACAAGTCAGAATCACAGGAAACAGGAAACTGGGCACGGGGATCTAGAGATCATCCAGCAACTTGAGGAAGTGATGAGCCTCCTTATAAAGGCCATCTGGCACCAGACTGAGGCTGATGTGTCCTTCTGCGGCCATGCAGAGTACTGGCAGAAATGCCAGATCTTCCAGAACTTCTGCCGTGGACAGGACCCTGACAGTAGAAAAACGTTAAAGTTGCAAGCCTCATGGAAGATGCATTCAGGAAGACAGGATACAGTGGAATGATTGCAGGGGGGAGGAGTATACACAAGTACGGTGAAAGAAAGCTCAGCTTAGACAGGAGACAGTGTTATGATCCGCCAGGTGGTGCCTCTGGCTGCCCACTTGAGCAGACCTACCCTGATGGTGGGGAAAACTAAGTGATGTGCTTTCACCAGGGCCCCTGATGGTGGGGATGGACTTGAAACAGACCAGGACCAGGTCACGACTCTGAGCAGGCCCACCAGTGGCAGGGGTAACCTCCGGGGATGTATTGGTACCGGGAGAGCCAGATGTGAGGAGGACGGCAGGGCCTAGCAGGATAGATCGCGAGCAGTGGTCCCGTGGGGTAGGCGAGGTACAGAATCGGCAGGCGGAAATCGGCAGGTCACACGCAGGGTCAGCAGGATAAGTCAGTCCGTAGATAGGTTCAACAAGTCGGGGGGTCAGGATGGGAGAAGGCAGAGTATCAGGGACAATCCGGGTCAAATGCGGGAGAAGGCAGAAGTCAAGAAAACGGGTCAAATGCAAGAGAAGGCAGCGTAGTCAAGGTCAATCAGGATCAAAAACACAGGTACAGGACTCAGGAACTCAAAAGAGTTTGCTGCGATCAGTGACAGTGCAGGGCATCTTTAAATATCGCGCCGTCACTGTCATTGGCCGCCCAGGACGCTCCCCGGGCTGTCATTGGCCGCCCAGGACGCGCCCCCGGGCTGTCATTGGCCCCCGAGGCAAGCCCGCGAGCTCCCACTGCGCATGCGCGGCGTCCTGTCATCCAATCGCGGGACCTGGTGCTTGTGTCCCGGCGTGAGCCGTTGCCAGCGCGCATGCGCCGGCCGACAGGACGCCGCGATCCCTGACAACAGCTCACGTTTAGGCAAAAATAAACTGATGGTCAGCGTTTTTTTTTTTTTAGCAGCCCCTGAACTCTCCCTAATGTTCTCAAAACTCTAAAGAATGTGTCCGTAATACACATCGTCAATCTTTACAGGCAGTTGAGTTTACAGTCTTTTATTGAACACAGGAAAACTTGCGTTTCAGCAAAGTCGATTTTATCATGCCGTTTCAGATCACAAAATGCTTACATTAAACGTCCCCACAGGGAAGAGAGAGCACCCCTCCCCGCACCAATCAATGCAGAATTTATAGGAGCATTTTAGCGTTTGAACTTTTTTTAGGAACTCTTCAGGGTTTTTGATGCAGCCCCTGAACTCTCCCTAATTTCATCATGAAAAATGCATGTACAAATCGTCCTTTACAGGCAGTTGAGTTTCAGTCGTTTTATTGAACGCAAAACACTGCGTTCACAGGATTTTATCTAGCGTTTCAAACTTGTCACACAAACGCTTGTCAAACCCTTGGAAATCGCAAAAGCATTTATAAGCGTTTGCGTTTGAATTTAACTCTTCAGTTCCCTGCTGTCCCAGAACTTAGAAATGCATGCAAAGCGCTTTATGTTAATGGACCAAACACTGACCACAGGATGTTCCCCATCCTTGAAACAACAGATTGCAATGACCATTCACACCTCAGACCTCTCCCACCCTTGGAAACAAAAGATAAGTTAATGACCATTCACACCTCAGACCTCCCCACCCTTGGAAACAGAAGATATGTTAATGACCATTCACACCTCAGACCTCTCCCACCCTTGGAAACAAAAGATATGTTAATCACCATTCACACCTCAGACCTCTCCCACCCTTGGAAGCAAAAGATATGTTAATGACCATTTATACCTCAGACCTCTCCCACCCTTGGAAACAGAAGATATGTTAATGGCCATTCACACCTCAGACCTCTCCCATCCTTGGAAACAAAAGATATGTTAATGATCATTCACACCTCAGACCTCTCCCACCCTTGGAAACAACAGATAGGTTAATGACCATTCACACCTCAGACCTCTCCCACCCTTGGAAACAGAAGATATGTTAATGACTATTTATACCTCAGACCTCTCCCACCCTTGGAAACCGAAGATATGTTAATGACCATTCACACCTCAGACCTCTCCCACCCTTGGAAACAAAAGATATGTTAATGACCATTATACCTCAGACCTCTCCCACCCTTGAAAACAGAAGATATGTTAATGAACATTCACACCTCAAATTTCTCATGAAGACCCCCTGCCAGGTGACCTTAATGACTCCCTCCACCAGACACCTTTCCCACCCTTGGAAACAAAAATAAATTTTAATGAGAAAAACTCACTCCTAAGCTAATCTCAACACATACTGCTATCTCTGCTTCTACTCTCTGTATTTCTCTGAAACAGTCTGAAATAGTTCATAATTTACCACTTTTCAGTTCATTCTGGGCATTTGGGAGGTTCTCCTGTGCTTATCTTTAAAAAACGCTTCTAAACACGTTATGCAAACGCGGCTAAGCAGACCGTTTTTAACCTACGTTTTCCAGCAGTCAATTTCCATCGTTCAGAAGTGTCCCGTGTACATGGGGCTTTAACCACTTGCCATTCGGCCGCTGTATATAAACGGCCAGACGGTGGCAGTGCAGGGGCGGGTTGCCGTTCATAAACGGTGCCCGACATTTTGGATTGTGTGCACTCCTTGGGAGCGCGTGGCACCTCTGTGTGAGGTCCCGATCATGTGATCACTGATTGGCCAATCAGTGATCACATGAATAGGAGTAAGCAAGATGTCACTTCTGACATCATTGCTTACTATGTGTGAAATCTGTGAATGATCACAGAGATCACATGGTACAGGGCCATTCACAACAGTCTTGTACCATGTGACAAGCTGTGACCAATCACAGCTCACACAGTATTTCTCAATGGCTGCAAGAATGCAGCTAGAAAGAAGGAGAAATTATTGCTTTTAGAGCCTTTATGGGTGTAAAAGCAATCAGTGTAAAAAAAATCTTCATCACCCCTCACAAGTTGTACAGTGTCACCATGGCGACACTGTACTGTTAGGGTGATGGTATGTTAAAACAAAAACCCCATAAATAATAATATAAAAAAATAAAAATGTAAAATATTTTTTTTTTTAACAATTTTTTATTGGTTTTCAAGT